TTTAGGCTTGGATCTATCATTAATAAGCAACCATAATTATGTAATATGAGTGCAGATAAAAAGCTTTTTTATTTCAGGCCAATTCTAATTCTAAAGAAAATTATATTAAAATCTCGGTACCATATAACCGCATACAACCTCTTAACAATTTTATTTCTCCTATAAATTGGGATGCATTTAGAAAATTAAATCAGTTCTAATTATCCAGCAATTGTATAACTTATAATTAAAAAAAAAGGCAATGGCATCTTCATCTAAGAAAATGAGACAGATGTTCGATGATGATAGCGACAGCAGCAGCAGCGACAGCAGCGATGGTTGTGGTGACTTGGAACAATTCATCGTAGAAGTGAACAAAATCAGAGAGTATGTGTCCTTTAGCACATTGAAGAATCAACAAAAATACAATATAATCTCAATGGAGAAATCGGATACATCTCAATTCAAAACTGCAGAGGGAAAGTCCAAGGAAACAATAAGAATTATATGTGATGATTTCATCACATATATGCCCACATATTACATTAAAAAATATCCGGAAAGCCGGATAAAACAAATTAATAAACTGATTCAAAACAATAAAATAGAATTTTGTTTTAGTATTATTAAATATGTAAATAAATTTTTCGAATTAAAATTCGAAATAAATAAAAAAAAATTAATATTGTAAAAATGAAAATTTGTTTTTTCTTTCTTTATTATTTTATTTGAATAGTTGGCTTAGTGCTTATTTCAGACAAACACCATTTTCAAGATTTTGAGTTAAATATTGTTCTTGGGGTTTTTAAGGCGCTCTTTTATGTTCTTTTATGATAACACGTCTTTTATGATAACATACATTATGAATTCAAAATCAATTATGTTATACCACTCCAATAAACCTGTTGAACCTCAACTCGTCCGACTCTTAGAACCTGCTTCAGCCCCACCCCGCTCCTACCCCCCGACAAACTTTTCTTACTCTTAGAATCTGCTGAACCTCAACTCCTCTGACTCTTAGAACCTGCTACAGCCCCACCCCGCTCCTACCTCCCCGACCAACTTTTCTAACTCTTAGAACTTGCTGAACCTCAACTCCTCAACTCCTCTGACTCTTAGAACCTGCTACAGCTCCACCGTCGCTCCTATCCCGACTCCTAACGCTCAAAAACATCAGCTTTCTAAATATACATGTTTACATCATAAACCATTTCTAAATTCCATAATACCACTCAATTTCTTATCTCTTTGGTTTAAGTACATTTTAAGTGCAAATTAAGTACATTTTAAGTGCAAACTGTGCCAGAATCGCCATATCCTATCTACTGATTGCAAATAAATATCATCCATTTTCAATAGTTGAAGATGTAAATTTTATAAAATTATTGGAAATGCTTAATCCTGGGTACTTTTGCCACAAATATGTACAGAAATAAAAGAAAAAGTGAAATTGGAAATAGAATTTTGGTATGTTGCAACGTTAATGGATGTAGTCGATGGATGGAGTTTTGCATGCAATCAATGCTTCTTAGCAGTCAGAGTGCATTATATTACCGACGAAAAGTGCGAGCTCCAATCTTATTAGACTTATTAGACTGGTTTGAGTGCAGTGATTAAAGGCATAGAGCTGAGAGCCTGTGTAGTGAAATTAAAAAAGTGATCAAAAATTGGCGTTTAGAAAATAAAGTGGTGGCCATCGTTAGTGACCATGCTGCAAATATAAGTTAAGCCATACGAGTTGGAAATCGGGCTCACATTGGCTGTTTTGCACATAAACTGAATTTAATAGTGCAAAATGCGATAGAACCTATTAGTCTTATCAAAAATAAAATAAAAGCAATAATAGAATATTTCAAAATCCTCAAGCTAATAAAAATCTTAATCAAAAAATACAAAGTCAAAAAAAATTGCCCCAATAAAATTAAAGCAAAATGTCGTAACGAGATGGAACTCAACATATATTATGTTCAAACAATATTTAGAATTGAGAGATCCAGTTGCGTATATTTTACCGGAGTTCAACCAAATTATAAATTTACCATCGAACGAGGAACTTCAAATTATTAAAAAAGTGTGTGATATCCTTCAAATTTTTGAAGAAATAACTAATGAAATAACAAGCGAGAAAAATGTGACATTGTCAAAAGTTAAAATATTTGTTACGGCAATGAAAAAATTTATATCTAATAAATATAAAGAAAATCACTTAGAAGCAGAAATACAAAATGTTCTTAAAATAATAACGGGACAATTTCAAAAACGTTTTACTTTTGGAAATATGCCTTTATGTCATCTTTATTATGAGGCAAGTCTTTTGGATCCAAGGTTCAAAAAATTAGCGTTTGCAGAAGTTGAAAACTTTGGTAAAATAATAGGAAGTGCAGCTCAGAGAGCAACCAAGTTCAATTCAACACCATCTTCACAAGCAAGCACTTCAATTACACCAAGAATATCAAGTTAACTGGGCGGACTTTGATGAAATGGCTACCAAGCTTGGAACTAACCAAAGTACATGTGCTGGTTTGGTTGAAATGAACCAGTATTTACTCTAATCTATGCTGGATAGAAATATGGATCCTTTAGTATGGTGGAAAGAGAAGAAAAATTCGTATCCCCACCTCTTTCAATTGGCGAAAAGAAGATTGTGCAAGTTACATATCCAAAAGCAACAATATGTAAAATCACTCCCAATCTATAAATATAAAAATAAACGTATGAATCATAAATTACTTTCTTTATGATTCATTCTTAAATTACAATTCTTTTCATACTATTTTTTTACTTTAATTTTTTTTCTTTTAAACCAAATTTCACACATTTCATATGTTAAGCGGTTATTTGGAATTCTGAAACGAAATTCTTAATCAGCAAATATTTTACAAACGTAAAATATATAATTGCAATTTATTTCAACACTTAAGAAACAAAACCACTAAATTCCACTTCAAAAAACCTAAATTTAAACTAAAACAAAGAATTGCTTATCTCGCATTTCTTTTCTTTCTTATTCAAATATTTTAAATCTGTTTGGTTTCTGACCTTGTATAATAATATTGTAATATTAACATAATTAAGAGACATTCAATTAAGTTACAAGCAAATCTTTACTTGCGTTTTTTTTATTTTATTTTCCTTACACGTTAAAAGCATATGAAACTGGCGCAGTCGGTAGTATCGCCATACTAGTTAATTAAAAATAAAGACATTAAGTTAATACGATACCGAAGAAGAATAAAACTTTTTTTTAAATTAATTAAAATAATTTTTACAAAAAAAAAAAAAAGAACCAAAAACTTAATCAAACTTTATTATAAAAAGTGTAAAAGTGTTACAGTTAAACAAGATTTTACAATATCTTTATCAATAACAAAAGTAACGTTACATGAACATTGACTAGTTTCCTTTCAGGGATTTAGTGGCGATTAAGGAATTTTTATATACCATACTGTGTAAGAAAACAAAAGAAAACCTTTGCCAACTATCGAAGAAGTGAACTATAACGAAAATTTAGAAAAATTGCAAAGTGATTTTATTCAAATAGTAAAAATGGCAAATGAAATTAGTGCAAAAGACTTAATTAGTGAAGCAAGGTCCGTCCCGACATTTCGAAGGGACGACACTTTTGAATTATCTAACTTCTTAAAGGAAGTAGAAGCCATCATGGGTTCAACAACCGATGCCAACACAAAAAACTACTTGAAAAATATATTCAATTCGAAGACCCAAGGACCGGTAGCGGTAGCGGTACGTAGAGTACAGGACGATAGTTGGGAGAACATAAAAAAACAGCTGAAGAAATCTTTTGGAGTACAAGAGTCCTATGTGAAACTGAAGGAACAAGCGGACTCCATAAAATTCAACAACAATGTAAGTAAATTTTACAATGAACTTCCGATTATATTAGATAAATTAAATTTGAAATATAAGTTAGATAGTGACAAACCTACTGAATTTAACGTAGGAAATAATGAAAAAAGTATTCTAGAAAAGTTTTTATGTAAAATTCCGAGGTCAGATAGAATGTTTTTAAGAATGAAAAATGTAGATTCTATGGAGGAAGCTTATTATGAGTTAACTGGTATCTCATCTTCCTCAGCAAATTATCAAAATAATAAGAACACTTATAGTTCTGATTATAATAAATTTCCTCGGAACAAAAACTACAATAATTACAGATATAAAAATAATTATAGTTCGAATCATAACAATAATTCGAATGATTTTGGTAGAAATAATCGAAATTATGGCTCAGGTAATTCTGGTTATTTTAATCGAAATAATAATGGTTATGGTCCGAAGTATAATAACAATAATGGTTCCAATAGAAACAATTTAGATAATAACTCTGTTACATATTAAATGATAAATCTAGTACAAAATGTATTGTAGTACATAATCTTATATAGCATAGAATATACATAGAGTCAGTTGTTAATTGAAACCTGACATGAAAACATATCAATAAATATAATAAAGTACCTATAATGTTAGAATAAGCATAAACTGGTATTTTCATTTAATTACACATAATAAGAATATAACAAACTCATTTCAAAATAGACATAATACCAATTATAGACAAAGTGGATTTTCAAGAAATCATCAAAATTTCTCCAATTTTAATAATAATCATAATAACAATAACTATCAATTTCCAGAACCGATGGAAGTTGATATTAATCACAATGAACAGGAAAATTTTCGATCAGAGCCTCGGAAACCCCCTCAAAAGATTCTTTACCAATAGTAGAATTTACTATTGATAATATTAAATTTAAATGTTTAATCGATACCGCCTCTACAACTTCGCTAATTAGCAATAAAATTTTTCCTCAATTTAAATTAAAAATATTAAAACAACTTATTAAAATTAATACTTTATTTGGTGCGAATAAAGATAGATCGGAGACCCTTAATATGGTTAAATTCATTAAAAGAGCCCAACTCCAAATTACAAAGGTGGAGAATAAAACTAAACGAATTCAATTTTGATATAAAATATTTAAAGGGCAAAGACAACAATGTTGCCGATTTTCGAACAATCGCTCAATCTTATTAAAAATCAGACATCAATTGTTGAGGCTACAGTTAATTTACTAAAGAAAACAAATACAGAAAGAGCACAACAGTTAAACATAATCAAAGATGAAATGGAAGAAATAAACAGAACGCTAAAATATTTATTACCCAAGGAAAAAGATGAAAATCTGCAAAAGATGTTTTTAATGTTGGCGCAATATGTTTCATTACTTAATAACGAGTTAGAAAAAAAACACATTACGATTTTGGACATAATCCATGATATTCATCATGGATCACCAAATCAAGTAACAGCATATTTAGAAGATTTGGTTCAAACCATTCCTGAAGGATTACAAGCACCATCTCTAACACAGTTATATAAATTGACAACAATAAAGTCCAAAATTACAAAAACATCAGTTATATTCGTGTTATACATCCCATTAATAAAATCATCAGAATTTGAAGTATACAAAATTATTCCTTTTCCTCAGCTATTTAACGGCACATTTTTTAGTATTGAAACAAGTAATGAACTTGTTTGGACTAATTTGCATAAAAATACAGTATATACATTATCAGATATAGAATGGAGGGACTCTATTTCTGTCAGTTCTTATGTGAACATTTGCGATCATTATATACTAAAGAAACAAAAGAGATAGAATGCAAATTTCATTTAATAACTCAGCAAACAATAGCAGATAAATGCAACATAAAACTAACAAAAAGTAATAAATATTGGGTTCAACTAACAAGAAAGAATTCATGGCTTTATTCATTAGATAAGGAGTATCTTATTAATATTGTGTGCGATGATCTCGCTTATCAACAAAGGCTTAAAGGGTTGTTGAATTTTCATGAAAATTGTCTATTAAAGGATGACGAAGTAGTCATACAAACTTTTCATATAGAATCTTCATTATTTAGCAGTATGCATATTAATAGTTTAAATTTAACAGATTCATTTTCTGCCAAATATGGCAAAATTAAGCAGCCATTACAAGCCTTGAAGAAGCAAGAAAGCAGTTTTGAAGCAATGTCATATCATGACAAACATCAGTACTCAGTGTTCTGATAATATCAATGTATATTAGTAAAAAATACATATTCAATAAAGATCACAAATCAGTCGAAGGACCACAACATATACAACTAAGAACCTAAGATTTCCAAATCTGATGCCAGAGACATCAACGCGGGAGAATGTTTACGCCAGCTAAAATGATTTTAGGTTGAAGAATGAAATATGAATTATGTTTAAAATTGACCGTTACAAAAATTAATGGTTTTTCTAAAAATTTGTTAAATCTTAAATTTGAAAATAATATTATCACAATTTATGTCGCGTTTCGTCATTGTTTATTTAGGATCATTTTTTTATTTTAAAAGTTATTTAATGGTTCAAGTATCAGAAGATAAATACATAGTTCATTATCATAATTTTCGTACTTGTTTTTAAAGGTAATTATTTAGATTTTAACTTAATTTAAGTAATTATTAACGATTCTTATAATTAGTTAAAAAACATAAATAAGATTACAGAGAAAGATACAGGAACAGCACAACACATGTTAACTAATCTGGTAAATACATACATATTTTAAACTACATGTATTGATAATAAAATGTAATGAAATAATATTTAGGCAATAAATCTTAAATAGCGACAAAGAACGAAATGCAATTATAATTTCATTTTAAAATTAAAATTTAAAGTTGTAAAAGTAGGGATGAGTTGTTTATTTTAATTTTAGTATATAAGGGTTAATTCTTGTTTAATAAAGGCAAAATTAGAAATGTTCTCAATAAACATACATAAAATTGTTTTTATTTCGACTGCTATACAAGTATCATTTAGTGAGCCTTACTCTCGATTATCCTGTTACTTGTATATTTTGTGACAAATAACAATATTAGACAAGTATAATCTAAATGGAATCTAACTGTGTTTTCAGTTAGACCATTAGTTTATACACAGTTCATTATAGGATTAAATAGAGTAATTATAATACATATTATCTATATATTATACATACTTACAACATCATATAAATATACACATATTAACTATTCCTTTTATTAAATTCGTAAATATTTTCTATGACTTTTAGAGTACTCGACTTCGACATACATACATACACGCTACATACATAATTTTTTCTTTGCTTTACTAAAAATCGCACATTTTCGAAAACAATAACATAATATATGAGTATACATACTCATGAATATAAGTTAACAACCTAAAATAAAAAGTTAACACATGCCGCCGAATCAGCAATTTTGTTGAGAAATATTTTGAAACGAAAGTTAACAGCCTAAAAATTAATAATTTAACACATGCCGCCGAGTCAGCAATTTTGTTGGGAACGAATTTTTGAACGAATTCCCATGCAACACAATATCACGTTGAAAGTAACAAAATATCACGTTGCACAGGTAGAGTCAAATACAAAATTTATAAAAATAATTATTCAATTGTAATTAATAATTAAAACAGATCGGACGGAATAAAAAAGAAGAAAATCTAATTTTGTGCGTTTTCATTTTTTGATTTAATTAATAAAAAATATTAAGTGAAAAGGTTGCGAGTTCTTTTTTATTTTTTTAAATAAAGAAGCCCCAGGTAAATTAACTGGCGCCCGAGCAGGGACCGTCCCAAGGTATAGGAGTACCGGGGTGAATAGTGAAATAAACTAAATAAGATTGAAAAGAAAAATACTAAAATACAAAAACATTTGAAGTGCCATAAAATAAAAAAATAAACTTTTGAAAAATTTTAGATTATTATAAAAAACAAACTGAAATTAAAAACTTTTGAAGTGACATAAAATAAAACAAACTTTTGAAAAATTTTAGTTATCATAAAATATTAATTGGAAACTATAGAACAAATAAAACTATAGAACAAACTTTTGAAAAAATTTTAGTTATCATAAAAAATCAATTGGAAACAATAGAACAAATAAAATTCATAGGAAATAAAAGGAAAAGCACTAGAAGAACCCCCCTCCGTATACCGCGCAGCAAGTAAGTAAATTTATTACTGAATTTATTGCAACATATTGAGCAAGAAAAGAGGCCCCTTAGTAGTCTTCAAACAGAGGACAAACAGGAGCTGTAGTACATAGATTAACTGATACCGCAAAAGACACAAAAGCTTAATGTTCACCTGAGTCTGGGTGAACGGTATTACAGTAAAATCCAACAAGTGCTAACAGCAGCCGCTTGCTCTTTGCAATAAAAGACTGCAGGACATCCTTCAGATGGGGCTCACTAACATCATCGTCATATTACTTATAACCGAAAGCTTAGCAGAGGTACAAATTTTGGACTATACCGGATCCTACATGATCGCAATTGAGGTCGGACAAGCAAAAATAGAAGAGGGGACATACAGACTAATACATGTAACGAACTTGAACAACTTACAAACAATACTGACTCAGATAGAAACAGTGCTGACGGTCGAAAATATAAAGACCCATCAATTATATCCTTATTTTCGACAGGAAGTTGAGCAAATACACGACCTGTTGGACGAATTCAAACCGACCCGAATAGCAAAAAGGTCGCTAAATTTCTTGGGTACTACTTGGAAGTGGATAGCTGGTTCACCTGACCATGATGATCTTGTCATGATCAAAAGAGGGATGAATAATATCCTAGAAAACAACAACAGACAGACTATTATAAATAAAACATTTCAAGACAGGATTAACAACATAACACTACTGACAAACCAAGTACTAGAAAGCATAAAAACAGAAAACAAACTTAACGACTACCAGGCTCTAAAAATTCAATACAAACTAAGGATCCTCAAAGAGGAGGTAGTGAACATTAAATACGCCATTCATTGGGCTAAAACAAACACAGTAAATCCCTTCTTACTTTCAAAATCAGAAATAAACAGTCTCACACAAGTACTCCAAAAAGAAAACTTTCCTTACAATAATCCTGAGGAAGCATTAGATCTTGCAAATATTAAAATCATAACTAACAATTCTTGTTTATTTTATCTTTTAGAAATACCACTCACAAGTAAAAATGTTTATAGTAAATTGTTATTAAAACCTGTAAAAACAGGAGAAAATATTGTTAAAATAGATACGCAAAATGTTTTATCAGATAAATCAGATTTGTATGGTTTAAAAAACAATTGTAAGAACTTAGGAAATATATTAATATGTAAAAAACAAAATATTGTAAATTTAAATGACTCTACCTGTGAAAAAAAGCTGCTGAAGGGAGAAAACTCTACCTGCATCCTGGTCAACAATCACCACATCCCCTCAGTGGAAGAGATTGCTGATGACTTACTGCTCCTAAATCAATTTCAGGGAATAATTGAGATATACGGAGAACCACGCGTACTAAATGGAACTTACCTTGTTAGATACTTCAATGCAACTATCAAGATTGGCTACCAAAAATTTGAAACAAGAGAAACATCATCAATCAAAATTTTGCCAGCTATCTTACAGCCACAACCCGTGAAGGAAGAAATACACCATCAATTTTCACTCGAACTACTCAAGGAGATTAACATAAATAACACCAAGGAAATCAAATTGTTAAAAACCGAAAAGCTAATAGGGAACATCATAAACTATGGACCACTAATAGTAATGGTAACAGGCTCGTTAGTTATATGCGTTCTCATCAAGTCAAAACAACATGCCAAACTAATAATCAACAACACTCCAGAAGCAAAGGCTGATGTGAAAGAACAGGTCGTCAAAAAAACTGAAGATAAAGCTTCGCCATCAAACTTGGGTTTTAGCGAGAAACAAAGAATCTATAGCACAATTTCATCGGAGTTAGCCAAGCCGACCGTAAAACAAAAACACTCTGACTTCTGCATCCAAATGAGGACATTTGGTCATAAGGGGGGAAGAGTTAACAACCTAAAATAAAAAGTTAACACATGCCGCCGAATCAGCAATTTTGGTGAGAAATATTTTGAAACGAAAGTTAACACCCTAAAAATTAATAATTTAACACATGCCGCCGAGTCAGCAATTTTGTTGGGAACGAATTTTTGAACGAATTCCCATGCAACACAATATCACGTTGAAAGTAACAAAATATCACGTTGCACAGGTAGAGTCAAATACAAAGTTTATAAAAATAATTATTCAATTGTAATTAATAATTAAAACAGATCGGACGGAATAAAAAAGAAGAAAATCTAATTTTGTGCGTTTTCATTTTTTGATTTAATTAATAAAAAATATTAAGTGAAAAGGTTGCGAGTTCTTTTTTATTTTTTTAAATAAAGAAGCCCCAGGTAAATTAACTTATACAAAGCTTTTCTATTTTTCCCAATATGCGATCTTTTTGTTTTTTTTTTCAACTTTACATTAAAAAGAAACAAAAACTTCCAAATATTTTCATAAGCATTCAACAAATTCAAAAATTTGTTAGCATATTAATAAAGGTTTCCAAAAAAGCACATTTCATAAATTTTTATATAATCTCATCTAATTATGTACATTTATTTCTTTCAGAATGATTAAACTCGAAGAAAGTGATGTATGTATTTCTTAAATTATTTATGTTAAATTATAAATTTTAATTTATTTAACATTTACTTTCAGTTTTGTGATTTATACATTGAAAAAAATAAAGGTTCGTTGTTGTGGAAGTATGTGGGGTACAAAAAAGGGGCAAGCAGTAATAATATATACTTTTGCTTGGTGTGTGTGAGACAGAACAAGAAGAAAATGTGGAAAAAAAGTGTCGGCACATTTAAAGACGCAATTGAAGAAGATTTGGGAGAATTTGCGACAGTATTTTTTAATTCTTCAAGTGTTTCGTAAGTTCTCAATTTTTTTGAATATTCGAAAAGTAAATTAAATAATTGTATAAATTTGTAGACCACCAAGACCAAGAATTGCTCAAATACACCGGAAGTGCCACGACATATAGCTCCGCTACCAACTCCATCACCAAAAGTGGCACAAATTACTCCTGTGGCGCAAACACCACAAAAAGTGTCACAACTAACGCAATCAAGACGAGTCTGCTCCTCAATACAACCAATAGCGCCCGAAATACCAAGAAGCTCGC